TTATATCTGGTGTACTTCAATAAATTTATAATATCTATCTTTTATCATATATGCAAATCATATATATTACAATAGCAACAGATATTAATACCTGCAAATGATATAAACTAGTACCATGATACAAGTAAAATTATATCTTGAGTGAAAAAATTGTCAATTATTATAATAAAATATATTTGAATCCTTCTGGATTTTAAATTCCTGATAAATCCTCCTCCAGCATACATTTTAAGATACGAGATCCTTAAACAAATTTTCATTTGTTCCTCTATACATTAACTGGATTAAGATCAAATTAAATACATGTATTTGACCTGAAAATAATCTGTAGATAATAAAAATTATTCACACTCTGAAAGATAAACTTCTCAATATATTTATTTTATTTATATAGGAGTCATGGTTTCAATGTATATACATGTTAATTTAGTTGCCTATAACAAAAAGATTCTCATGAAATATTAAATTATGTATAGTCGTTAATACATTCACTCGTCGCTATAAATTATATGAAAATCAACTTAAGGCTATTTACTCTATTAAACACAATAATTAATATCTATGCATATTATAAAAGATTATCGAAAACTTTTCCATATATTAAATGATTAAATAAAGCAACTTTCATTACTAATTGCTTTACTTATTTAAATTTATTTATTATGCCAATATTCAAATATTTATTTTTAATATGAATTAATTGCATTTATGCAACTTTCATTTTTTATCAATCGGTACTCTATATTGGAAATTAACAAAATAATAATATTTTAACATTTGTATTATTTTTATATTCTTGTATATCAATCTTTGATCTCGTTTTTTTATTGTTGCAATAAAGATTATTACTATTTATTGCATACATAAGAATTATTTCAATTATTAATAAATATTGTAAAATGCTCTTGATCATTGATCTTTCCACACACCCAGTAGCGTCGGTCAATCGGACAAATGCCCGGGGCCCACGGGTTAGGGGGAGCCACCTTATTTTAATCCGGTGTCAAGACCGACAACCGAAATGCCGACTATATCGAAATCCCGAGTGTATCGAAATCCCGACGTTCGAAAACAGTGTTTTTTGTTATTATAAATTTCAACAATAACATTTTTATGGTAGTCGCGATTTTGATTGTCGGGATTATGGTAGTCGGGATTTTGTTATAGTCGGGATTTTGATTATCGGGATTATGGTAGTCGGAATTTCAAGCGTCGGGACTTTAATACAGTCGGGATTTCGATACAATCGGGATTTCAATAGACGGTCTTTAGGTTGTTGGGCTTGCGATATAGATCCATTTTAATCAACAATACAGACGATTTGAAACCGTTTACAAACGTCAAAAAAGCGCAATAATAAATGAGGAGGTAACTTTTAAGACGCATTATTTAACTCTTATTTTAGTTTTATTTTTCTGTTTTAATAACTTTCAGATATATATATAGATCTCTATGAAGAAATTAAAGTGTTCTGTAACATTTTCTGTGAAGGCATATGTGATTGGTCACCATTAGAATGCCTTAAAAAAATCACCAAACAGGAAATGAATTTCCCAATTTAAGTATTTTATTAACAATTCCGATAACCACTGCTGAGTCCGAACGTAGTTTTTCGAAACTTAAAATAATAAAAAAACTATTTAAGATCCACAATGACATAAGAAAGACTATCCAACCTAGCGTGCTTTCAATAGAAAATTAATTATGCGAGGACTTAAATTTAAGTGAGATAATTGATAAATTTTCTGAAATTAAAGCAAGGAAAATAATGTTCAATTACTTTTGTTCTTTTTATATATTAATAATATATTATATGTCTTCTATACATATGTTCCTTTCTTGTATGTATTAAAAATTAAAAAAATATTTGTTTATTCACTTTTTTAGTCAAGTCAAAGTCAAAAATTTATTTATTTAAATGTAGATGCATATACATTGTGTTATTTAATGGGTGGCGTATATGTGAGCTTAAGCTCATTTAGCCCTTTTTTAGTGGCCCCATCTCAATATTTATGCCCGGGGCCTTAAAATCTTAACGACTTAACAAACTATTACATTATGTTATAAAATAAATTAAGGGTCCTTTTTTGCATTGTTTATTATAAATATGTATCTATTTTTGTTCACTTGTTCCAATAAATGACATTATTATTTTATATTGATTGATTTGACTTAAATATAATAAAAATTGTTTAAAACAAATTAAGAATAAGTATAAATGAGAAATTTTGTTCAGCTTATAATGACGATAAAAAACCATTTACATATAGTGAGGATTTCGCCAGGTAAAATATCATCTGCAGGCTCTCGGCAAAAATGTGAAACGACTGCAAGTTGCAAGCGGGCAGAGAAAACCAGTTTAAAAATAAAATGTTTTGAATAGCAGACGAATTCATGAATACATTAAAATTCGCGTATTTTTATTTAGTTTGGATGTACAAAAGCCTTAAACATATTTCTCAACTTTATATTTGAATGCATATAAAATGTATACGATTATAGTAAAATAAATGCAAATTCTCTAATTCGATTTAATATCAAGACATTTATAAAATTATTTATATAAATCCAAATGTCATAGAAGAAATCAAAACAAATAATAAAACAAAGACATTTTTTTTTATAAAAAAAAACATACATTTTTTTTGTTTTGTTTTATTTCATTTGCGATGATCTTTGTCAACTAATATAAAATGGATTAGAAAATGTACTTAAATAATACTTGTACCTAAATTGATTTACGTTGTTAAGACTCGTCTTGAAAGTTAAAGAAACAAGAAGATTGGACTAAGTCTACTTAACATGGAATTATTTTACTAGGGGCAAAAGTATCTGTAACGTGTATCTACAATCGAACATAAATTAGAATTTCAAATTATATGCATTTACAAGTAGCGAAAAATTATATGGAATCGCTTGCTGTACGTTGTCTGTCCACATACAAGATTTACGACCGTTGTAACGATATGCAAATGCAAGAGTACCGATTCTAGCAATGGAGATTCCAATCTACACAAACAAAAATCCATAAAGAGGACAACGTTTAGTGAGTCGAATTTACAAGTGAAATGAGTATACACTTCTTTATTTGAAATTAAACAAATTAGTAAGATCTTGTAAACTCCGAGAACAACAATTTGATTTCTTTATTTAACTATAATATATGTATTTTATAGGAAGAAAGTGTTCTCTTCTTTGAATATTCCACCTGTTCTTATATTTTTTTTAATACGTTATCACGTTATTTGGACGAAAAAATATATAAAGGAGACAAAGTTTAGTAAAACAATTATAAATACAGTCATACCTCGATTAACGAATAGAATGAGTTCCACAAACTTTCTCAGTTAAACGAAACTTCATTTTCAGAATATAAACATTTTAAAATGTGAGTCTAAAGTTAATTGTTTTATTTAACAATTTCTTATACGGAGTTATTGAATGTAACACTGTTTACTTAAGAACATTTATTCCTAAATCAGGACAACGTTTTCAATGTCATTTAAGCTCTTTTTTAAATATTTGTTTGTTAACATTTTTTCAGCAAAAATTTCTTTATTTTCTTTATCTTTGTGGCAAACAAAATGTTCTAAATCTTCCATTGAAATATCATCACATTTTGTATTCATTATATGTCTAACATTCTCTTCATCGATATTTTTTAATCCTATTGATTGACCCATATGTATAACTTAATTTCTTTAATATTGCTTTCTTCCTGTAGTAGATTTTCTGACAAAATTTTGTGATATATAGTACAAGGTAAATTTAACCGAGGTATAAAATTGAACAAATTATTACAATCTTGTAAACTCAGAGAAGAACACTTTAAATTGTTTATTTAACTGTTTTATGTTATTTTTAAAAATAATAATATAAAAACAGTAACTTGTTTAGATGCAACCTTATTATTCAGGCATATACAAAAATCTGTAGAGTAGAGACTCGCATTTGCAAGTGAAATGAATATAAATAATTTATATTTTGAAATTAATTTTAATTCAATATATTACTTTGAATAATATAATTAACTATTTTATATGTATATAATTTATAGAAAGAAAGTGTTTCCTATTTTGTACACACGAAAAACTATTATAATTGTATACAGAATAATGTAACAACAGTTATTTTAATATACAGATGCAGACGAAGATATATAAAGCTACTAGAATTTACAAGTGAAATTAATTTTTGTAAACTTAAGAAATGATTGAAATTTGTTAAAGTAACTATTTTATATATAATTTATGAGAAGAAAGTGTTATCTTTTCTAAACTATTAAAATATAAAATAAATGTAACGACAGTTACGTTCTTATTTTTGTTATAATTCATCAGAGAGAGCAGATGGAGATGACAACTAAATATGTATTGACGTAGTCCATTTCTTTTTTAAAATTGTGTTTAATAAGAGAATTCATATCTGGATTAGTGGAATATTGGAATTGGAATAATTTCTCTTCGGGCCAGTACGTCGGAGGCATTTAATTATGATATCACAGCATCTAAGATCGGTAGACCGCGCGAAGAATAGAACTAATCAACGTCGTCCGACGCTATTGTTGATGGTTTGGAGCCGACAGAACGCATCATTTACAAAACGGGTTCATGATTGCTTACCATCACCACACGACCATCATCATCATCGGACGCAGTGCAGAGTGGAGCACGAGGTTGCTGCGCATTATAGCGGGGCCTTCAGGTCAGTGCCGTCGATTCCAGCAGTCCGTCCGGACGCACTTGAAGAAGAACAATGCCACAGTAAACAACAGTCTGACCATGAAGCAGATAGACTTTGGCAACGACAACGAAACAGACTATCAGAATGCCTTCAGCGAGGAGCTCAAGAGGAAACTGGAGATGAGCACGGAGTATTTCCTAGTACCGAATTACACGAAGAACATCCAGAGGGTGATAAACCAAACGGGTTGCGCAAACTGCGGTAACGAGAAGTACGAATTCATTCGCGGTGAGCTCTGGGTCTTCCCGGTTTTGGTATTCGCAGGACTGCTGATGGTATCCATAATATGCTTTGAGCTCTTCATCATTTGCAAAGCTTATAAGTTGAGTTCAAGCCATCGGAACATATTCTTAGGACAGATTTTACTGCTTGGACTATTCCTGTGCGCCAGTGTCAGTGTTGTGTTGACCTTGACGCCTACGATAGTCTCGTGTTCGGTGGTTAGGTTCGGCATAGGGGTGTCATATGCCCTTGTTTTCGCGTCCTTATTGGTAAAGTGCGTGTTTCTGATCAGTTTGAACAGCGGCGTCTATCTACCAGCAGCCTATCAAGCTTTGCTTCTTGCCTTCAGTATACTAATTCAGGTAGCAATCAGCGGCCAATGGTTAATAAGTAATCCTCCGGCCGTTGAGAGCGTTGTTTACGAGAGGTTCATCACGGAACGCAAACACAACATGTTGTTCACGGCTAAGGACCTGGAGAAACCCGAAATATCGAAACGCTGTCAAACTGGTTATACGGACCTTTTATTTTCACTGATCTACGTCGTCTTCTTGATTATATTCGTGAGTGTCCTTGCTATAAAGGCGAGACATGTCAGGAACAACTATCGGGAATCCACCTACATAGGTCTATCCGTTGGATGCAGCGTGCCAACTTGGTTGGTCTGGATGCTAAGCGGTTTTTTAGTTAACGAAAGACACCGTGATGCTTGCCTGGCCTTAGGCCTACTTATTTCATCATTCGTGATCTTTTCGGTAATGTTCATGTCGAAGAGCAGAAGATTAATTGCACTTGGAAGCAACGGTGTCTACAAGGAAGATAGAGATGACCAGTTCAGCTCCATCAGTCGGACCGGATCCAGATACTCTCCTTCCTTCTTCCATTACCAACCTGGTGACTTAAGGCATCAATACATCTACCAGAACAAAGGCATCCAAGCCACCCACAGCAATCCAGGTAAATCCATTAGAAAGTAATCTCAGTTTTCCCTTTGACGAAAGATCAATTTTATGGGAAGCTTGGAGATGTAATTAAACGTTTCACCGACAGATTTCTAAGGTACGTTTATGCTTTAATGATCCGGCGAATATTTCAAGCGTAAACCAAAAAAAAAAGAATATTAAGATCGTCCATCATCCGAACCAACTCCCAAAACTATTCTTCAAACTTAATTAAACAAACCATTATAATCTTAAAAGAATTACATTACGATTTGTGCACATATAATAATTACGCTCCGGCCTCAATCCAATCAGTTACATCCAAACTTATCGAAGCAGTCAATGTCATTGACTTTACTACAATGATGATGTGTATTATATTTTTTATAATATGAAGCGTTGTTAAATAACACGTCAAAAAGTATCATTCAATAATTCGAGGTCATTTCATGTTTATTTTTTCTATTGCGTTATGAAATTTCGATATAAGTTTAATTGGACGAGAAATACGTTTCCTGAAAGATGAACTAGTTTCTTCCTCTTTGTGTTCGATTTGCATACGAGTTTTGCACGATATATCATTATTCTTGCAAAACCACTCATTACACATAATAGGTTTCTATTATTGTATTCAAATAATTACTATTCGCAGAATCCATTTCGAATGTCAGTTTAAGGCCAAACGCATGAAATAATTCGATGCATTTACAAATGTAACATGCATATGATTTCCTTATACATCTTTTTTTATATATAACTCACACACTTTGGAGTCATGTAATTCCAAGTCAATTGAACGATTTAATAAGCGTAAACATTAAAATAGAATACAGTGAAACCTCGCTTAAAGAGTACCTCGCATTGAGCGAAATGAGTTATAAGAAAAATGACTCGTTTAACGAGTGACGATGAGAAGAGAAGTCCCGGATTGCGCGTCTACTACATCATTTTTAAAACTTGTGTACACATATTATCTGTATTTTTGAATATGTTTCACTATGCGAGTAAAAATCCAAAAATTTTGGAACGGATTAAACTCGTTAAGCGAGGTTAAACCGTATTAGTATTACAATTTTTTTTTCTTCACTCACATTCTTTATGTTAAATCCCAATAATATGAATTAAACATCAAATCTATTAATCTTTATGAAAAAACTATTTTTATTATAATCTAAATTATTAATCATAATCATATTTTCTTCTATTTAATTAATTTGCAGCAAATTTTTGATCTTAATATAAAATTATAATAATCTTTATGTAATAAAATATGCCATTAAACTAATTAAGATAATATAAGCTGTGCAATTAAATATTGAAGGAACATTAAGATTAGCTACAAATGTATGTAAAATCATTAAAACAAATCGTAAAATAAACAAGAGTTGTAAAGATACGATTTTGATTGGATTTTGCTTGTAGTAATAGAGATGTCCTTGTATCCCAAAGACCATTCGTTTTGTTACTAAAATAATCATTATAATTATAACCGTAACTGTAATATTAAACGTCGCTGCTCACTGTGTAATTCCGAAAAAGTTTTTGCTTTAACGAAGTGTAGAAGGTGATTTTCTATGGTCATAAACTACGATGATAATAAACAACAAATATTTTATTGCCTTCTTTTCGTAGCGAATTATTTCGCATTTCCAACTGAGTGCGAATCAATTTAATACACGTAATTAATATAACTTTATTTCATCCTTTACACACTACACATTTATTTCTGCAGCGGAACGTATAAATTCTGTTTTACAACGATGTTCGAGTGCTGAATTTATATAACGTGTGTTTATTGAGACGTAGTCTTGCAGTTGCTCGTACTTCTTATATAACTCACCGTAACGAGAAAGAAAAAAATGTAATTACATTGAGTTTTTATTACTCAGCAATAAAATTGACATTAATATAATATCTTAAACAATGCAGCAATTAACGCAATGCACTTTTTTTCTGTATTATTTTACAAGAAATTAATAATAAGTATGTTTTATAAATGATATATTTGTATTACTTGGATTTAGTTGCTAATTTGAGACAAAAATATAAATAAATAGTATAATTTCATTTCATGATTTTTTATTACCAATATTTATTAAAATATATAAACAAAACATGTTGACTAAACATTATTGCATAATAATTGTTAACTTATTCAATTTATTAATGTTAAAATACTGTTTTTAATTAATCAATATATTACACATATATATGTGCAGTTTGTAATAAATTTCTGTCAGAAAAGAGCAACATTTAATTTTCTAGAAAAATTAGTTTTAAATTTATGGAAGGTCTCAATTTGTATTTAATAATTAATAATATTCAAAAAAATGTATATTTTTAAGACTGATTATGTATATTTTATCCTACTTCAAAAAAAATCATTTTATAAAGATTTTTATTAAAAATATGGAATTATATAGAATTAAAATAGAAATTTACTAAAAATTATTGCAAAAATTCTTCTTTTTTTAAATTATTTTATTCCACTTCAAAATATTAATTAAAAAAATACTTTCATTTCCTGTTAGTAATTGAATAGGAAATATGTTTTTTTGTTATTTTCACACAAAACTATGTTTTCTTATTTAAAAATTTGAATCGCGTATATTTATTACAATATTCATAGCAGTAATACGCTTGAATAAACTTAGTAAATATGTGGGTTTCATAGACATACACCTTCTAAAATGAAATACAATTTCTAATTCCATAGTTACAATAAATTCTCGGAAAATAGATAATAATCGTGAAAGCCATGGAAGTATTTATACAAAAAAAGGAAGATCAGAATATTAATCATTAATAACTTGTAGTCATTAATATTCTCATCAAATATAATGAAAATTAGATAAAATATTCATTGAGTGTTTAATAAATATTTAATGATTTTTTTTTGCTTTACAAGATTTATTTAAACAGTAAAAAAATAAATTTTCTTTTATTATTATAATTATTTAGGTAATTTTATGTTTGTTCTCATGAATTTAATAATATTTTATGTATTAAAAATAATGTACAATTCCTCTCGCATTGTTCGGTTTCGATCAGTCCGAATTCACTACAGTCCTGTTTGAAAATTTCAAAGAAAAATCAATTTTAATTTTGAATACATATTTTTTTTGAGCGATTTATTTTTGTGTGTATTTAGTTCCACGATTAGTCCGGTTTCAAACAATGCGGAATATTGGCAGAACCTTTGCCAGCACTTTGCGAGGTATTGCTGTACATGTCAATTTCAAGAAAGAGTACTTATCTAAATAAGCAATTTTCTAAATGAAACTGCAAAATTGCGAAACAAAATTGCATACATTATGCAATGTATTTACGTTGAAGTGTATTTCTTTGGTCATGGCAATAACCGTAGAATAGCTTCTTCGTCTGAGAATATGTCAGTCATCTTTTCAGTAAGAAGTCTAGAATTATCCTACTGTAAAGTGGCGTTACGTGTTGATGCAACAAAGGGCAATGTACGTTATGGATGTAACGATGGACAATTAATGTGCCCGAAATAAACGCAAACGAAGAAGACATGTGACCAGAGATGATTGCACTCCAAAAAATTTAACACCTGTTGTTGAAGCGGTATTTCACTCTCAATTCACAAATGTATTGTTAATCTTCGTAATTTTTAATGATGTTTAAATCAACATAATTCATTGAGCTATTTCAACTTTCTTATTTATTTTAAAACTAAGTATACTAAATAGCAATCATAATTAATTGTAAACAATTAATAATTGGATTTTTTTATTAAAAAAAATACATATTATTTGAGATGTAAGAAATATTAGTGAGTAAACAAGAACATTAAGTTCTCTATTGCACAGGTTTTCGGAGATTTCTTAGAAACTCGTTTTATACATTAAAATTTAAATCATTTTCTCTCCATTACATTTCTTGAAAGGCACTAAATAACGTTCATGAATATATTCATATAACGGAAGAAGAATACAGCAATAAATCGCGTAGTCCTGTTTCAAATCGGATTATTCGAGCAAATATGACATAACATTAAAATCATTTAAAAATAAACTTGAAATTTTTGTTTTGCAATTTTTAAACCGGACTATAGTGAATCCGGACTTATCGAAGCCGGGCTTATAAGCAGAATCGATTTTCTCTAAAAAGTGACTTATACAAAATAATAAATTATTAATAATTAGTATCATATTTTGATAAAAAGATGTTTTATCTCAAAAAGTCACATACATTCTAAATTTAAAAAAAACCTAAGAACAAGTAGAAAAATTAATAAATAAAAACATCGATGATTAAAATTATAAAAAAATAATAATTTTGTGTAGTATTTCTTTAGAGTTTGTTTTTATTTTGATAAATTAATGTAGTTTGTTTTTCAAATGAAGCCGGACTTTGAATTTTAGCAGAATCGATTTTCTCTAAAAAGTGACTTATACAAAATAAGAATCTATTAATAATGAGTATCATATTTTGATAAATAAAAAATGGCATATATTAAAAATACATGACTAAATACTAAATTTAAAAAATACCTAGAACCAAATGGAAAAATTACTGATACTTATAAAAATGATACTTAACAGAACAGAACTGAAATAGACACTTTACATTGTAATAGAAGATAAATCAAAATTTATTGTATACATAAAAAATCATATACAAAGGGTTATTCACCGTTGCCTTTCTGCAATATTTTAAAGTATTACATGTACAATACACTTTTAAACAATTCATATACAGTGGAACCTCGCTTTAATCCGTTCAAAAATTTCCGGATTTTTACTCGTATAGTGAAACATATTAAAAAATGCATATAATATTTGTTTTAAAAATGATATAGGAGATGCGAATTCCGGGACTTCTCATCGTCACTCGTTATGCAAAACATCACTCGTTAAGCGTATTATTATTATCGAATATAAAGTAATTTCTGCATTAACGAATAACTTCCAAACCAGAAATTAAATACTAGAATAAGTTATAAGAAAATTTTTTATAAAGAAAATCTTTTAAAAAACAATAACATTTCTTCCT